CCCCCCCCCTCCCTGAACACGGAAGGAGATGTTTTTACCCCAAACACACAACATGGCACCAGGCTGCGTCAGTGTCACTCAGCCCCTCGGGCACATCGTGTCATATGGCTGCTGATCTCTAACTTGTCTTTCTCTCTCTCTGTGTGCAGGTCTCTGCTTTCTACGCCGACACCCGGACACCTTTTCAGTATGACAGGATGCTGGCGCCAAGGACCAGCCAGTGCCAGGACTTCCTCTGCGGGACGCTGCAGTCTCCAAACATGTCGCCCGTCACCCAGTCTCAGCCTGTGCAGAGCCGCATCCCACCGGTGCTGTCCAGCATCATCCCCGTCCCCAGGCACAGGTCAGTCAGCTATGACACGCACTCCGTATCATTCAAAGGAATAGATCTGTTTATTAAATGCAACATCGTCTGTCAGGGTAGAGCACAGCCTTCTATTGTCAGCAAGGGATTTATTTAGATGGATATTGTCTATTCGAACGATTTCACAATCTCACGACTTGTCGAGTGACCCTGTACTCTGTTATTGCGGCGTCAAGTATCAGGCTCACGTAAAGCCAAGAACAAATGTCGGCTTACCTGCTCCTAGGTGTGGGGGCTGCATTAGTTTTTACTTTTTAATTGTCACCTGGTGATCCTGCAGCGCCCCACCCTGCCCACGCTTCCTGCAGCAGGAATGGCAGGTGTCCCCGTTCAGATGCGGCCGCTGTATCCATTGAAGTTGATGACAGCGGGCGCATCTGTAGCAGACGCTACATGGTATGATTATATGCGGCTTGGGATAGGTGACTTTTGCTGGACCCAGGATAGATGCGTCCACCAACAGTCCTGTACCATGTGTGCTTACAGATGCGGCCGCTGTATACCCATTCAAGTAAATGGCAGGGTAACAGCGGCCGCATCTGTAAGCACACATGGTACAGGACTGTTGCTGGACGCATCTATCCAGCCACCCTGCCATTTACTTGAATGGGTACAGCGGACGCATCTTGACAGGTGATCTAGGATTACTGCAGCAATTCCAGAACGCCTCGAGTCAATGTAGCCTTAGGAACCGTCTTTACCTGGAACAGCCGAGGCTGCCATGCAGTGTCTAGAAGTTGCCCTATCCTGATTCCTGGACGTGGTGCCAGATTTGGTGCAGAATTGTCACTGTGTGCCATGCTGCGTTCAGATGCGGCCGCTGTATCCATTGAAGTTAGTGACGGGGGGGACAGTGGGCGCATCTGTAGCAGACGCTACATGGTATGATTTATATGTGGCTTGGGATAGGTGACTTTTGCTGGACCCCCCAGGATAGATGCGTCCAGCATCAGTCCTGTACCATGTGCGATTACAGATGCGGCCGCTGTTCCCTGCCATTTGATTGAATGGATACAGCGGCCGCATCTTAACAGGTCAACTAGGATTGCTGCAGGGATCCCAGACTGCCTCGTGTCATTGTAGCCTTAGGAACCGATTTTACCTAGAACAGCCGAGGCTGCCATGTAGGGTCTAGAAGTTGCCCCAGCCAGATACCTGGCCGTGGTGCCGGATTTGGTGCAGAGTTGTCGCTGTGTGCCATGCATGCAGAAGTAGACGTTAACCACCTGACCACCACCCTTCAAAGTGCATGTAAAGCATTTTGTGCTAAAACAATACACTGCGCTATCTCCCCTTGCTTTGTTGGTCTTTCGGTGCGGCTGTCATTTATTTATAAATAAAAAGGGGGGGACATCCACAAGCTCGAATACTAATATTTATAAAATCATGTAAAGCATTTTAACCTAAAACAAAAGGTTTGGCTATACGTACACTTCAACCGTATATTTACTGTATATTGAACGGTGGGGAGTCCTTTTAACTCCCATATAGTATCATTGCACTGAAGCCGTGCAGTGTGTTTGTGAATAGCCCCCTACCCCTTTTGGCAGCAGCTCAGGCTGAGTAATATATTGTAAAGATCAGCAGCAGCGCAGTAGATGGCATTTGCTGCAAAGAACACAAAAAACAAAACAAAATGCAGATTTGTGACGGTAGAAAATGTCTTTTAGTAGAACGTCAAAAAATTTCACTTCATGGGACTGTTAAGAGAGAGAGAGCGGGTATAGACCCCTATTGGCCAGAAAAGGAACTGCAGCATGTTTTGCAAGGCCCGTGCAACTTCTTTATGTGAGACCCGGCTAATGTTACGTGTCTCAAGTGCAAATTTGACTGACGTGTGCTAAGTCTCAGACTCCTCTACCTGCCGATGTGAAGTCAGTGGGCTTCCCTACCATGCTTATTACATAATTGTCCCCAACATGTAGGGACAATCCAAGATTGAAGACTCGCATTTGTTACTGGGTCATTTGCTGTAATTGATTTATTTTCCTTTTTCTTTTTGTTTCCAATAGCTTGCAGAGGGTTTAGAACCCTTGTCAGGTTTTTATTGCTGTCTGTGTTTTCGTTAGGGGGATTCACCCTCTCTGGTCACAGCTGTCGCAGGGCTGAAAGCAATGCAAAGGATCCAGACTTTTGAGTTGGCGAGGTGCATTTGTTCCAGTGACAACTGTCCAAGAGGGAGTTTCCCTCAGTTAGGAGAGATCTCCTTTCACTTCCTCTGTTGTGTCTGCAGGACAGGAAGTTTAGAACCCCCCCCCCCCTTCCCAATGAGACACAGGGTATAGGTGTTTTTTTTCCCCATCCAAATGGGACAAAAAATAAAGGTTTGGCTTTATAGTTTTTATTTTTCTGTTCTCCTTTTTACCATTCTTCACTTTGCTGATTTCTTTCCGGCACATCAAATTTTAGATTTTACTGGTGAGCTATACACTAAAGGGGCCCAGAACTAACTGGCCCCTGCAGTCATCCTGACTGTCACCACTGGTCATGCATAGTATTGCTTACATCGGCCTCTGGAAAGGTGTATCATATACAGGGAATGGGGGGGGGCGGGCATGGACTGGATCTGCCCTTCGATTATTATTTGATTTGTGAGTGATGTTTGTCTAGTAAAATCTTTCTTTCTCTTTTCTTTCCAGGCTGGATGAGGCAATTGCAGCAGCCGCGCTCACTAGCTTGTCCTCGGGTCCCATGATGCTGGGAGCAGGTACTTCTATCTAGCTCACTTTATATTGTCATATCCTCCCTCAAAACCTTGGTGTGATCCTCATCCTCATCCACTCCCCTAAATTAAAGCGCTTTTCTACTTTCTGATCTTGGCCACTTGGAATCTAAATGAGGGCACTTAGCACGCATTACTACCCTCTGCAAGAGCCTCGCCAAGCCTGTTGTAGATGTCGGGTTTGTAGCTTTCACATCCTTGGCCTAGAAGTTGCTGCCAGCGCTTGGCTAAGCCAATAAGTTCTCCGGGGGTATAATAGCCCACTTTTAGTAACTTCGGCTTCAGTGTGTCTTGGTAATCCATGAAGAAGTCTATCAGCAGGGCTGGGGTAAATTTTGGGGTTTTCCCTTTCTGTATGAGAATGGAAGAGTAAAAACGATGGAATTCTAGGTCAGATGGCTGAAGTTAGAAGGAAACCTGGTTTACAACAGATGTATGGTTGATGAATGTCCTGAAATGGACATCGTAGACTTAGCCAATGCGGCTTAAGCCGGCTGCTTGATTCCTCCCTGGGGTCAGCGTCATTTGAACTCCAGAGTGGCCACGAGGTAGCTGCTTGCTACAATAAATTGTGCTTGGATTTAGTAATATCTGTGCTATGTAAATAGTCCCCTTGTACCTTGTTCATTATTCAGTATGGTCTTGAAATGTCCTCATGCTTTTCTTTCCCTTGTACTTGTAGGACGTTTTGGCGAGGCCTGTGCGGTGAGCTCCATCCTCACGTATAGCTCCAGCGCTTCCAACGGCTGCGACTATTACACCTCCTTCGCTTCCATGCCGTCTCCTCCTCAGCATGCCCCCTTGTCTACCCATTCTGACGCTGGCCTTGAGGATTCCGACACCACCCACTTCCTGTTTGGGGACCCAACTCCCCGCAAGAGAAAGGTGGGTCTTTTTTTCTTTTTAAACGTTTTCTTGCGGATGTTGTCGGCTAGGTGGCGCCTAAGCTTCCCAATGTGTTTAAGCAGAATTCCGGGCGTCTCATGTTCCGCTGCCTGTGGAAGAATTGTGGGAAAGTTCTCAGCACGTCTACGGCCATCCAGAAGCACATCCGGGCGGTGCACTTGGGGTGAGTATAAGTGCCTACTTTTTTGGCGGGGCCCAGGTTGTGTAGAGTGTGCTTGTGCAATGGGACTTTTTTTTTTTCCTCTTGCAGCCGATGCGGCGAGCAGGTCCACACCGATGGCGAGGAGGACTTTTACTACACAGAGATGGATGTAAATGTGGACACACTGACAGACGGACTGTCCAGCTTGACTCCCACCTCACCCACCACCACTGGCCCCCCACGCTTCCTCTGTCCAGGGTCCCTCGGAGCAGCTAACAGCACAGAGCTGCCCCTGATCTCCCCACTTAGCCTATCGGCACCTAGCACACTGTGCCACGTGCACACTGACCATGCCTACCAGGTGGGTTAATGTTATATGTGCAGTGAGGAATCATACTTTCTTACCTTCAGCTATTCCTGTTTGAACACTGGTGGGTTAAATCACTTTCCCTTTTCTTGTATCTCCGTGACTCCAATGACATGATTTTATTTTAATACTATAGTTCATCTCTGCCCTCTCCCGGGGAGGGTAATGACATTGTTCTATGGGCTGGAAAGTCTGGCATGTACCACAAGCAGTGTTGTCAGCCCTGTCCAGTTCTCCCGCCATGGAATACTGTTCTCCCGCCATGGAATACTGAACATCTCCCCTTATCTCATGGGGGGGTGGGGGGTATTCTTGTAGTCCAGTACGGAAGAACTTAATCAGGGCTGACATCATGCTTGGGATTTCAATGGAGCACAGGCACTGTGATCAGCTCGCCACAGAAGGTTAGGGGCTCACTAGATTTTTGGCAGACCATTATATATTTTTGTGTACGTGCAGGCATAAAACATAGTGAAATGTGCACGTATTGCAGAGATGTACTGCATTCTTGCACAGATATATACTTCAGAAGGCCCGTAGATCCTCTTATTAAGTAATCTTTGTATTTGTTCTAACATCCCTCCTTATTCTGCTGTGTCTTCTCCCCTTTTCCAATTATTCTTAAATGAACCATGACTTTGGGGGGTGGGGGTTGTGTGCAGTTACCTACCTTTTCACGTAGTTCCTTCTGTGTATTTCTTGCACACAGTCCCAATCCCTGTTATGCCTCCAGGTCCTCCCATAAAGCTAAGGGATTGCGGCTCTAAGAAAACTCAGTCGAATTTATTCAGGGTCGGTCATCTCTAGTGTTTAGGAAAGTTTTGCTGCTTTAAGACAATTCTGGCGTTATGTCGGCTATTTGTGTTTTGAATTTTTCTTTGTCGGCAGGCTCCCTCTCCCATCAACGTTTCTGTGACATCCAAGGTGAGCCTGTCCTGGCAGCCTCCGCCACTGCTCATCAAGGCACCTCCAGTAAGTACTATATCTTTCCTACATTGAGGGCTAGTTCACACCAGACACAGTGCGTTCCGGCCCGATTTGATGCCGGAACGCACTGGGTCGCATCCCAGCCGTCTCACTGTGTTCTGGTTGCGGAAGGGGCGTAGCGGTGCATTGAGGTCAATGGCACTGCAGCCACACATCCACCTCCCCCCCCCGGCTGCAGTGCGAACGCCCACACAGGAATGCGTGGCACATCAATGCCTGCATTCCTGTCAGGTGCGGATCAGATAAAATAGTGCTTGCTGAATCGGGCAGAACGCACTGCGGCTGCTGTGAACTAGCACTGAAACACGTGACACAATTTTTAATGATGACTAATTGGCTGTAAACACAGCTGCTTGGTGATCACGGGTTCCTAATGTGGTAAGGTCTACATGTTATTTGTGTTTTTGTAGGAAACCTGGACTGAGAGAAATATGCAGGGTGACAATGCCGACCTTTCCTGAATGCTAGTTGTTTGTTTTCCATGCTGGTCACATACTTTGATAAGCTGCTAACCCAGAACACACACAGAACCAGTAACAACTGCTGAGTGGCATCATTGGTTTGGGTTAGCAGCTTGGCAAGTATGAGAGCCAGTGAAGTGACTTGACAGCTGGAAGCTTTAGATAGAGGAACAAGCAGAGTCCTCCAGCAGAGCAGAGTATATCAGGAGAGGAGAGTTATAGAGGAAGAAGCAGAGTCCTCCAGCAGAGCAGAGTATATCAGGAGAGTTATAGAGGAAGGAGCAGAGTCCTCCAGCAGAGCAGAGTATTTCAGGAGAGGAGAGTTATAGAGGAAGGAGCAGAGTCCTCCAGCAGAGCAGAGTATTTCAGGAGAGGAGAGTTATAGAGGAAGGAGCAGAGTCCTCCAGCACTGGGCTAAGGTGTCTGTACACTAAGAGATTACTTGTGGGGATTAGTTAATGATTTGCTGACCATGGGCTGTGTATTGGTCGTCTCTGACCTTCGCAACCAGCCCTTGTCCACATGTTTATGGTCTATGCAGCACAGAACACCCGGTCACACAAACGTATACTCTTATTGGGTTTTACTTTGCCACCCAGAAACTTATGTGAGGTACAGATTTTTGGGCAGATGTTTTAGGGATGATAGGGACACCAGGTCAGGGCACCTATTCTTTGCTCTTATGGACATTTCTGGGCCACCTGCCTGACTGGAGAGGGAAGATTGTAAAATGAAATGAACGTCACACATCCATGTTGGTCTTACATATCTTCTGATGTCATCTTGCAGGTCCGCCCAACGCTGAGTATGGTAGATAGGAGGCCGCAGATCCTGACCGCTTCTCCCAATCCCAAGCCAATGACCGGAACACGGTGAGCATCTCCGTCTCCATCTGTCTCTCTGTGATGTGTGTTCCCGTGTGCCTGAGGGCCCGCTGGTCAGTGGTGTGGTGTTACCCATCGTGTTGATGTTTCAGCTAATCTGTGAATCTTGCGCTGTCACATGTCCGGCAAGTGGCGTAGGAATATGTGTAGCTTAGCAGAGGCCAGCCTCTGACCCAGGTCCATCCCCTTCTTCCTCTTCCCCAGGAAGCCACGAGGGGAAGCCAAGAAATGCCGCAAGGTGTACGGGATGGAGCGCAAGGAGATGTGGTGCACCGCCTGCCGCTGGAAGAAGGCCTGCCAAAGGTTCATAGACTGACGCGTACAATCACCTCAACCCGCCCCCAGGGGGGCGCACCCGAGCTGCCTCGGCTCTGTTCCCAGCAAGAATTTGTTTCAGGACACTTGTGATACAGCTGATATTTTTATAAATGGATTGTATTTTTGTTTTCTACGGTCTGGAGCTGCACACAGGAGACGGTCATTGCTTGAGGAGCCCTCTTCAGGTAGCAGCAGATTCCTGAGGTTCCTGCTACTGAACTGTTGGTGAGAAAGAAGAGAATCTATCATCGTGAGACATGTTGGGGGGAAGAATGGGAGGGAAAGGGGTGGGATAAGGCGTGTTTTTACATTTTAGTTTCTTCCTGTTTTGTAGGGCGGTGTTGAACTCTCGCTGCACTTTGCTTTGCACTTTGGGGATGCTCTGTGGGCGGTTGGGTGGACTGAATTTGAGGGACGGGGGTATTCAGGTGCAAAGGGGAATATATTTTAAAGGATACCTGTTGCTTGCTTACAATGACTGAAGCCGTGATGTCACTCGGGATGTTGCTTGTGGCATCACTAGCCTAGCTGACCATGTGACAGGTGCATTTTAATGGCACAGGGGGGCTTATTCACTAAGGCGGTGCCGCGATCCATTGCAGCCAATCAGTGTTGATCTTTTTTTGTTTTTTCCCGAACTGACTGTGGAGCACTTACATGGGGCTGTCGGGTAGCAGAGCACTGCTATGTGGAATAAGCCGGAGAGGGTCTGATAGACCTGAAATGATAGATTATAATATGTTTTTAACGTGTAAACTATAAGGCATGTCTCCTGCCTGCATGGTGTAGGTCAATCTGCACATCAAGGAATCGGCGCAATCTCAATCGACGTGTGTGATAGGCCAGCAGTGAGGAGATGTTAGAGCCCTTGTCAGGTTGTCATTGCTGGCTATGACTTTTAGATTGATGTACTCCTCTCTGTCCTGGCGACCATTGCTTCCAGCACAGAGCGAAATGGGGAACTTTTTTTTGAGTTATCTCGAGAACAGGAATAAAGGGGGAAGCTTCCAATGCGGACACCTGTTCTGGTGACAACTTTCCCCTTTCATTGGAGATTTTTTTTTTTCTTACTTCCTGTTGGGTCTCTGGGACAGGAAGGGAAGAGAAAAGCTCCCTTACAGGACACAGCAGATAATAACCTCACCGGGCTTTACAGGGCATTGGCTTTAAGTATACTCTACAACAGCCTGGGTTCCGTTGAGCCCTGAGGGGGTTCGGGGTTCCTTGAGGTGTGGCTGATTGACCTTCCATCTCACGGTGCCTGCATAATTTTAGGCCCAAAGCCACTTAGCAGAGCCAGCAGCGTGACATCATTGATCTTCTTAGCTGTCTGTAAAGGGGGGGGGCGTTCTTCCATTAATTAACTTCAGCAGGGGTTCCCTGAGACCCGATCATTCATTAGGGGTTCCTCAGGAGTTAAGGGGTTGACAAAGGCTGCTCTATAGGATGCATTATATTTTTGCAGGCAAGGAGCAATAACTTCCAAGCACCTTATCATGCAAAAAAACTTCTAAAAACTCCCTCATCTGCACGATTGTGAAAGGGGGTGGGGTGGTACTTTATGCTGCGTAGCTCGCTGAAGATTTGTGATGCCGCTGATTGAGGTTGATTCAGTGATATCACTGTTTTTTTTACGGGAGCCCATAGGTCTGACTCTGTGATGTCACTGGCTCTGAGGGAGCGCATAGGCCTGACTCTGTGATGTCACTGGCTCTGAGGGAGCGGATAGGCCTGACTCTGTGATGTCACTGGCTCTGAGGGAGCGGTAAGGCCTGACTCTGTGATGTCACTGGTGGTGAGGTAGCTGATGGGTAACTTGACTGTTTCCAAGAGTGATGCCACTGGATGTGAGTTTGCGGATAGGCTGTGATTGGTTGCGTAGTACTGATGTAGTGATGTCATTAGCTCCGGGGGAAATTGATCGGCTGCCCAGGAAATTCCGTTCACTGTGTAAGATGGCTGCCTCTACTGTGTGATAACCAAACCGTCCCCTTCCCAATTTAGCCGTGCTTGCTCTGATCCCTCATCTTTTATAGGGTGCAATCCACACACGGACAGACAATGGAAGAAGAAATTGTACTATCAACAGCAGGCCACACCAGAGTTATTTTCTTGGACAGGTGACACTTACCGTCTGCTGCTTCCAGGGCGGTGAAACTGAACCTATTCAGCTTGGCGCCAACCGGCACCATCGCTCCGATAACTACAGTACAGCCCAGCGGGTGCAGACAGGTAACTTCCCGCTCATCTGGTAGATGAGATTATCACTGCTGATCGATGTCGGGAAGAACGTGCTCCGTGTTTGCACACCGATGTGAGTAGAAGGTGATTGATAACCGTCATCTCTCTCATTTGCTGCCTCATGTGTTTAGAGTGAGCATTGATGATATTGGGTGAAGCGGAGCAGTGTGTTTGCAGAGGGTGTAGTGGCAATGTAGAATGCGAGACCAGGCAGGTGGTATGGACTACTCGTCTGCAGTTCAGACAGCTGTCACTAGTTTATCATTGTACAAAGATGAGAGCGCAGTAACCAATCATCTATCACCCATTTGCTCTGGGTTGCTGTCATTCGCTAGTTGCCTTATCAGACCCGCCCTTCGCAGTCCGAGCTCCACCCCCGGCTCCAATAACATAATACTAAGGGGGCCTTTTACTGTACGATTGACAACTGTCTGCCGTTCTTAATCACGCGCTCTTGCCAGTTTTACATGAATTTCCTGCAGCTTCTTTTTCTTCTCCATTTATTTTTTTTATTTCCCTTTTACAAGTTTGAAGTTTCCATTTTTACAATGCTTTAAAAAACACGCAGAAAACAGCGCCTTGCTTTGCGATTCTGTGCGTTAAAACTGAAGTTTAATCTGCTTACCCTTTGCTTTCTCTGGTTCCTTCCTCCCCACCTCGCCAACATGCTAATGATATAAAAAAAAAGCTTTCCATTATAATTGCATACCTTATTTTCCCCCCAGTGTCATCTCTGTGCTTCTATATGCAGATCAGAGCTGGTAGGAGGGTGCTGTGCGTAGCTTCCTAAACATCACAGTACCCAGCCTCAGTACACGTTTCAAGAGCCCTCAGCCCTGATGCAAGCAGTGTACTGGGTCTTGGGGGAGGAGTTATGCAAATATGGAAATGCCTTGACGGGTGGATGTCAGTCCAGGAGGAGTGGGTGTTCACAGGCAGGGTGCATCTGCTTGCAGACCATCCACGTGTGATGCTAAACCTCCATGGTTGAAAGATTGAAATCCAGTAAAAGAAAGGGGCAGGCCACAGACAGGCTATGCAGGGAAGAGCTAGATAGTGCTGGAGGTCCTAAAGCCAGGAAATGAGGTGGGCTCTATCTGACTTGCTGCAGCTTCTAATGCACATTGTGAGAAGCTTTCAGACTGCAGTGATATCAAAGGAAGCAGATTCAGTCCAGGAGAGGAGCCGGTACAACTGTGCAAAGACTGAAGGCAAGGCCGGAGGTCAGATAGAAGACTGAAGGGAAGGGCCGGAGGTCAGATATAAGACTGAAGGGAAGGACGGAGGTCAGATATAAGACTGAAGGGAAGGACGGAGGTCAGATATAAGACTGAAGGGAAGGGCCGGAGGTCAGATATAAGACTGAAGGGAAGGACGGAGGTCAGATATAAGACTGAAGGGAAGGACGGAGGTCAGATATAAGACTGAAGGGAAGGGCCGGAGGTCAGATATAAGACTGAAGGCAAGGCCGGAGGTCAGATATAAGACTGAAGGGAAGCCCAGAGGTCAGATTTGCCTCTTCTAAAGGTGCCCATACACCTTACGATTATCGGACGAAACGTTTCGTCCGATGATCGAATAGTCGTACGGCAGCCCCATCCTGCCCCGATGATCGCAAGATTAATTTAGCCGTAATTAACGAGAAGCACCTGGACGAAATGCGGTAATTGATTTGTCGTATTTTCGTTCGCGCATGCGCAGTGTAGATCGTACGACTTTTGACGGACGGAAACGCCAGCAACCTTACGACAATCGTACGATCGAGCAAAGTTTTCAAACATGCTTGACTGTCAAAAGTCGTACGATTGTACAGTAATGTCGGTTCGGGCACTGCTATTCACACATAGGATTGTCGTTCGAAAAGTCGATCGCATACGATTATCGTCCGATAATCGTAAGGTGTATGGGCACCTTTAGGTGCACTGCCTGCTGACCGTTCAGAAAAATGCATCAAGCCAAATGTAACTCTGCTGATTAGATCCCAAACCAACAGTGAACTCCTAGAGCGTAGTACCTGTAAGTAGCCAGTAGGTGGGGCAATGTGCTGATCCGTACCATAGTGAAATGAGAGCACTTTCTGATCAGATCTACCAGCAAGAATCCGATTCGCTGATACTGACAGTTCTGGCTGCAGGATCATGTTGACATAAACTGAACTGCCTATCATGTTAGTAAATTCTACAGGTGAAAGGGAAGCTGTAGGGACCCCAAAAGAAGCCAGGGCCTATAGGACCGGAAAGAAGTGCCCCCTCCAAAACAGCCAATCAGGTCTTTCCATTTCAGTTCCGAACCTGCACTAAAGACGTGTCAGCTGGAGTCACGTTTGCACACAGACCCCCTTCCCTTTGCACTAGACTTGCAGACTTCTATAACGGAGCGCAATGCAGGCCCTGCGTCACTTTCTTTGCGTTCCCCGATCATTGCACTACGTATATTTTAAAATGAAATTCATGGAATGCGTGTCGTTGATGCATTGCACACAAATCGAAGCACTTTAATATAATTAGTAACAATTTGCACGCTTTTTGTATCCTCTTTTATTACATAAGCTATCGCATAAATCGCTGATGAGCGTATTATTCTGCGTCTCCACCGAGGTGATATAAGTGCAGCTCCAGCCACTGCAATATTTTTTACATGTGGGTTGAGTGGGGGGGAAGGGTTAGAATTTTTGTCTGGTATTGATGTCTTTTTGCTTGTTCGGAAGGATTCCACTTCCTGTAGTTGTGATCACCGGGGACAGGAAGTGAGGGGAAATCTCTCCAGCAGGGACAGAGACTGCAATTAAAAAGCTGATCTCGGTTCTTCTCTTTCTCTACTCCTTCATGATCGGTATTCTACTTTAGAGCTCATCTCGGGGGACATTTTTACTGCTCTCCCACCTCTCTCTCTCTCTCCCACCTCTCTCTCTCTCCCACCTCTCTCTCTCCCTCCTGGCTCTCTCTCTCTCTCTCTCCCCCCTCTCTCTCTCTCTCTCTCTCTCTCT